CCTGTTACATTCACGAAGCGTATGAATACATAAAACTTACTTGAAGTTTAAAAGAAAAGTGAGATCCGTAGCTTCATGCGATCGTTGGTGACAAAAGTCCCCCTTCATGGTAATCCTCAAAAAGTGCATAATGTTGGCATAATATGAAATAAACCCGAGTGATCGATAAACGATAGTTACCTCTGAATGAAATCTATTTGTCGGAGCCAAAGGTCTTATCAGGATCATCGTCAGAGAGGAAAAGCAGATATGAGTGTCGCTGTAGAGAGCAGCTCGAGCGTCATCGGAGCCCTAAGAGAAATGAGAAGAGAGTGAGGATTTCACAGGATTGGGTTTGTTTAAACTAGTTGTCCTTGGTATTTCCAGGAAATATCCATTTGTATTATTATTATCAAAGAAGGTACAAAAATTGCATCTATTATGTACAAAAGTAAGACATGTCGGCTACAAGTATAGAAGAAATATCTCTATTGTCATCTACACGCATCAAATGAATTAGGCATAAAAAGAAAGCTTGACCCAAAAATTAGCACCCTATTACATTCACGAGGCGTATGAAAATATAAAACTTTCTTGAAGTTTAGAAGAAAAGTGAGATTCGGAGCTTTATGTGATCGTTGGCGCCAAAAGTCCCTTTTCATGGTAGTTCTCAAAAAGTGCATAATGTTGGCATAATATGAAAGAAACTGGAGTGATCGAAAAGCAATGGTTATCTCAGAATGAAATCTATCCCAGAGCATCTTCAGTGAGAAAAAAACAGACATGAGTGTCGCCAGAGAGAGCAGCCTCGAGCTTCGTCGGAGCCCTAAGAGAAGACGATATTGAGGATTTCACAAGATCGGGCTTTGTTTAAACTAGCTATCGATGGCATTTCCAGGAAATATGCATTTGTATTAATATTGTCTAAGAAGGCACAAAGATTATATCAGTGTGCTTCTATTATGTACAAAAATGAGACATGTCATTTACAAGTACAGAAGAAAGATCCCTATCTCCATCTAGATGTATCAAATAAAAATATCAATGAAAGACGAGCTTGACGCAAAAATGAGCCGCCCTGTTACACTCACGTGGCATATGAAAAAATAAAACTTGCTTGAAGTTCAAAAGAAAAGTGAGATCCGGAGCATCATGTGATTGTTGACGCTAAAAGTCCCTCTTGGTAGTCCTCAAAATGTGCATAATGTTGGCGTTGTCCCCTTCGATGATGATGCCCTTGTATTCAACATCAACGAGTGGCATATATTTTGAAAACATCTAATGGCTTGAAGCTCCAGTTAAATGTTGTCCCAATGTTCAAGGCAGTGATCGGTAGCAACATGGCCTAATCCCCGCTTGTCACATATGTTAATGCTAGTTCTGACAGCTCTAGAAGGTTGAAGGGCACCGTCGTTGTTCACCTTAAGCCATACAACAACAACACCAACAACAACAAAGCTTTAATCCCACTACGTGGGGTCGGCTACATGAATCCTAATATCCTTTTTCTCCACTGCGTCCTATTTAGTGTCATATTTTCATTTAGTTATAGTAAATTAAGATAATTTTTTATACAATAAGCCATACATTATTTAGTTCTACATGAATCCCACTACGTCGTTCACCTTAAGCCATACAGGATAAAAAAATAAAGGGAACCAACTCAAAAGGGTCGTCTAGCATGTCATTGCTGACAAAATGAATAGTGGCATCTTGGTGAGAGCTTCAAGAATAATTGCAAAATTGATTGTCTTTCGTCCCATGGGTCTGATTGTAGGTTTTGGCATTATGGGCTCTCCAACTGGAGTTGAAGAATTAGAAAAGATAAAAAATTTATCAAATTTTTAAAAGATAAAAATTTTTAGAATTTATTATAAAAACGGGTTTATATGCAAAAGATTGAAAACTTATAAATAATATACGGCAGTCTGTAGGAAGCCTAAAAGAATAATTTGTTATGCTAAAAATTTTATTTTTAGTGATTTTATAAAAATTAGCTTTTATGAAGTTGAAAATTTTATATATAAACTACTCAAGAAAATAGATAGGAAAAGTAAATATTTAGTTCATGTAAAATGTATTAAAGATGAAATCAAAAAATAATTTACTTAGATGAGAATATTTAATATAGGTGGGTGACATATTTTGATAATTTTTTAATGATGATTTTGAAAATACAATCGACTTTACTTATATTAATAGAGTAAATAATAAAAAAGTTTTTTTACTTCTATTGTCACATTAATAAAATGAAGGTGTCAAAATATTAAGGAAATGATGTGTAGAAAATCAATTGTATCTAATAGTATTTTAGTAAAAGTGTTGAAATATTTAGAATATCTAGGAAATTTTTTGCTCATTAAACCTTTTAGTGTCATTTTAAAAACTAAAATGATGCCAAATGGGTGAAAAAGAAGTCTATTGGTTCCTATTCTTAAGAATAAAGGGTTGCATAAAAGTGTCATACATTATAAATGTGTCATACATTAAAGTTATGGAAGAGAGTTATTGAACATAGGTTATGACTTGATATGAAATTTCTTAAAACCAGTTTGGATTCATGTTGGAAAAGTTTATTGTGAAAGTTATATATTCATTGAGCGGTTTGATGAAGAAGTACAAAGACAATATGGAGAATCTCCATATAATTTTTTGTTATTTGGAAAAAATCTTATGATAACATTTCAAGAGGACTATTTTGGAGAGTTCTACTAAATAAAGGTTGATCTTGTTTTTATTCAGGTTAGTAAAGATGTGTATATTAGAGTTGTTACTTGTCTTCGGCATAAGGAAGATTAACCAAGTATTTTTTATTTAAGTACGATTAATTTTTATTTAAGTACGATTACCTTAGAAATCGGTTTTAAACCCATATCCTTTTGCTTTAGTTATGGATGGTCTTGCTGGATATTTATAGAAAGATGTACCTTGGTGTATGCTTTTCACTGAGGATATCCTTCTTGTGCATTAGACTAGATAGAGTTTAGAATATGCTTGAATTATGAAAGTCAACTTTGGAGTCTAATGGCTTTTGTTTGAGTAGATCTAAAATTGAATACATGGAATGTAATTTTATTAGTATTAGATCAAGTGGTGGGTTATAATAATGGGTGATCAAGTCATTAAAAGGAGTGAATGTTTTAGATATCTTAGGTCTGCTGTTAGAAGTGATGGTGATATAGATGGACATGTTATTATTAGAATTCAGGTTGGATGGTTGAAGTGGAGAAATGCATCGGCATATTTTGTAATAGCAAAATAACACTTATAAGGATAATTTTATAAACTAGTGGTGAGACCTGCAATACTTTATGAATGTTGACCTGTAAAAGAGAAGCATGAAATTAGTGTCACTGAGATGAGAATGCTCAGGTGGATTCATGGTTACTTTAAACATCGATCATCTGATGACCAAGTTAGGAAGTAGATTTTTTAGATTTAACTTATGTTAAGAAATGTAGAGGTAGACCATAGAAGACTTGGACATGTATAAAAATGAGCTTTAACTTATTGAAGTTAAATAAAGTATGACACAGGAGGACACGATGGAGAAAAATGATCATGTAGTTAACTCCACTTATTGAGATAAAGGCTTGTTGTTATTGGTTTTGTTGTTGTTCTTGTTTTGAACATCTTAGTGCTTTAATGAACCCAAAATTTCGCAACATGATTAGTCTCATGGAAACATTTGTTTCGACTATAAGCACGTAGAATTTAGAGTATGAGATGTTTTTTTCAATTTTATGCAAAGCATTGAGAAGTTTTTAATCATTCATTTGCTATATATTCTTTTCTTAATTCAAATGTATTATTTAGAAAATGATATAAATACATCGATGATAATCATAAAAAAATGAGAGTAAAAAAAGAAGTTTACCTCAATAAAGAAAAGAATTCAAAGATTCTTTTTGATTGATTAGCTTAAAGCTTTTGAAAGATAACAGAGTATTAAATTTTCTTTTGACTTTTGTCTTTTCTAGTTTAAAGAACATGAAATTTTTTATCCATTAGAAAGTCTATATTTTCATTGGGGCAATCATAACCAGAAACACGCGACTAATATTCATTATTTTGTTTTTAGAAGGAAGAAAGGACGGGACATTTCACGAATTTGTAAAAATTTACTAGTGATAATTTTAGTATTAGTTAAAATAGTTTACATGAACGGCCAAAAGGAGAAATATTAGTTACTTTCTCTTGAAGAGAATTGAACATAAAATCATGTTTTGAGGATAGGTTTGAACAATAATTGGGAGAACTTCCACCATTAAATCAACATATGTAATGTCGTGCAAGTTACATAGATGATTTCTCACATCAATATGAGCCTGGAAATATTCAAAGAATTTATATTCAAAATGCTAGCTAGAGGTGCATTATGATAGTATGTTTTAGAATTCGTTTTCTAACTGCCATAGAGGGCCTAATAAAATAATTTATTTGTAGCATGCATCTATAAATATATATTTTTTTAATGGAAGTCAAAGAGAGCAATGTTGACTGCTTGAATTAGTGCAAATGAAGTGATGACAAATAAATCTAAACTGCAGTGACAGGCAACTGAGGAGCAATCACAATGTATAGACAATTTGCATATGTGCATGAGTTGCTTGTTAATATAATACGATCAACTTGAGAATGATCTTTTGTTGTTTCATTTAAATTAATTTGGAGCCAAATTTAGGCGTTCAATATCATTTGGTATGTCTCATCGAAGCACAATCTTCATGAAGTTGATATTAAAATTTGAATATGGAGTTAATTATAAAAGATTATAATCCAAAATTTTTGTGTGCTTTGAGATTATAAATTTACATTAAAATTTTGAAACTTCATCTAATGGCACATTAATATTCCTAGCAGCTGATGGTAGCTTCTGCATTTAAAACAATTATTTATTTTATGAATGTTTGACTTCAAAACTTAATAGTTTACTTGCGCATGATGGGGATTAAGGAGTGACAATCATTTAACTTTGTGTGCTATGATGTTCAACATTCAACCTTTGTGTCTTTTCGCAGGATGTGGCAGGGTTTTCTGGGTTCCACACTTTCTTCGGTGGATCTTATATGGTTTTCCTTCTACATGTTTGCAATAGCACCCAACAGCCTAAGAATTTCCCTCGTAAGGCATCTCTTTGCTGATCCGTCTGGCTTAACTATGATTCGGGAGTACCTTACCCTGTAAAATATAACGCGCATTTATTTCTGCATCTTTTGGGGATCATCCTTCATTTTCTAATGGATTGGCTATTCTGGTTTGTGCTTCCCTTCAATATTGCAAATAAGCATCAAAATTAAGTAAATTCAATTTGTGCATATTTTGAGAGATGCACGTAGTTATTGCAAAATGCTCTTACCAATCGCCAGTTTTTTTTCATTTTTTTTTTAGTTTCAAGAATTTTAAGGGATTATTTCGGATCATTTTGGTTTTTCTTTTCCTATTTCTTATTTTTTTTATTAATATTTTGATTTGAAATAAAATATGTTTATTTCATTATGATTGTTTTTAAAAGTTTGAATAGTGATACTGGTGTTCGATGGTTATAAGCAAGTATCGAAAGCCTCTAAGAGTCACGCAATTGTAACGAGCGGTAGCCTGCACTTATTGCAGGGGGAGGGGCGGTGATTGTATTTTAAAAAATAGAAATTATTTTAAATTGTTTTTAAATGAGTTGCTATATTGTAAAATACAAATTATGAAAATGCATGAAAGGTATATTAAAAATATATTAAAAAAATGTATAAAATAAAAATAAAAATAATTACTCAGCGTTCTTTAGTTATCATGTTATTTGTCTCTCGTAAGTTTTTTTTTTTTTTCTTGGTGCTGATTTACGTATTTCACACAATTTTTTTAGTAATATTTTTAACACTTAGAGCTCTATAATTGACATTCTAGCATTTCTTTAATACTATTAATAGAGTTATGGATCATGTTAGTCATGCTCTTGCCAAATTCTGTCGGTCAAAAATATATTGACTTTGTTATCATTTGATTGCCACAAAATTTTAATTAAATAATGCATTAATTTCACTCTATTTTTTGGGTACTCTTTTTATGTCTTGCCTATAAGATTTGAGAAATCATTTTGGAGACGATCTTGACGATTGGGGAAGAAGGAGAATCCTCTGTCCATAGTTGCAATTGGTTCAATAGAAAAAAAATTATTTATTTTTATTTAATGTTTTTATGTTTCTTGTCAATTTTTGACTTGTATTTATCGCTCGGTCCAGGTCTTATGATGCCCATGTCTCATTTGCTTGATCAGTTCGTTGCTCGATAAGTCTGTCGCCCCGGTTGGACTACACCTGTCGTTATGCCTTAGGTAGATCATGTCACTACCTACTTGGGGGTAGCCGTTGAGACTCGCTGCTGGGGTGATTTGCACCATACCCATCGCAGAGCTTGTCCATATTTTGGTAAGAAACGGTCTCTAGAGCTTTATCAATGTCGAGTTCGGAGTCAGGCTTCCTTATGCTTGGTGTTGAATTAGTGATTATTATTTGCTCATCTCGAAGGAAAGTATGTCTTGAAGGAGAGTCTTTATGTGCTTGTCCTTGAGGAGTCTTTTGTTTGCTCGTCCCGGAGAAGAGTCTTTTTGTGCTCGTTCCGGAAGAAAGTTTTGTTTGCTAATTTTTGGGAAGTCTTCATGTGTCTGTCCCAGAGGAGATCTTTTTTTGCTGGAGGAGAGTCTTTATGTGCTTGTCCTGTTGGAGATTCTTTTGTCTGTTCCTCTGAATTCAAATTCTCCGAGAACTCTTCGAGTGCCTCAAGTCTTAGTCCGACATAGGAGATAACAAAATTAGAAAAGTTGACATATATATTTTAGAGAAAGAAGTGATAAAATAGAATATCATTGATGGATATTTTGGTTGCTTAGGCTTTTGGTCCAACTTTTTCAGCCACATGACTTTTTGGTCAGTTGACTTTCTATCAGCTTTCTTCAGTCTTTTTATTTTTCATTTGATCATGTCTCTCCTGTGCTATTTTTTGAAGTTGCAAAATCTGATAGTTATATAATATTATTATTTTATATATATACACATATATTTTGTTTACTGTTTTAAGCCTCTTTTGGCAACCAAACCTATGCTCGTGAACTTCCATACCCTATGGAGTCGATCAGAAAATTCTCCATCTAACTTGAGTTATTCGATCGGAGAGGTGGCCGACATGATTGGTCAGAGAGGTGGTTGGTCGAAGAAAAGAGAGTTATGCATGTTAACACTGACTGAAAATTAAAATAGCATGGTTTATGGGTTAGTGTATAGAGACAGTATTGAATGGTATGTTTTCAAATCTTTCTTTTCACACTGGCCAACAAATAAAATACCAGGGTTTAGAGGTTTGATATATAAAGACAGTATTGGGTGATATGTATGTAAATTATCCCTTTTTACGCCAATGGATGTGGCATTGGCAACCGATTGATGATTCTTTGGAAACCATGAGTGTTTCTTCAAGCAAGAGTGACAGTCAGTTGAAGAAAAGAGTGGTATCCATGCAAATCTTCCTGGTCAGACTAGCCAACAAATGAAATAACAAGGTTTAGGGGTTAGAGATACAGAGACAGGATTGGGTGTTATGTACGTAAATCTTCCCCTTTTTTGGCCGGCGGAAGCGACGTTGGCGACCGATTGATGCTTCTTTGGCAACCAACCTTGAGGTTGAGCGTTTCCTCTGGCTGCCTTGAGTGCAGTGGCATTATCGTCTTCGACCTTGTTGGAATTTGGTTGGCCGAAAACATGATCAGCCACTGGAATTGGCCAGGTGACAACTTGTTGGTTGTTGGATTGATCGGTGCAGCAATTTTATTGATCGCTTGATTGAGTGAGCCACCGACATTTAGTTGACTAAAAGCGTGCTAAGTCGATGAAATTATTCAGTCAGCAACAAGCTTAGCTGCTGAAAAGAGTCTGCCACAACTATTTGGTCAGCTGTATTGGTTGGCCTTTAGAATAGGTTGGCCGACAACTGGCCCGACCTTTAGTAATGGTCAACCAAAGAGAAGAGGAAAACCATAGGCACAACTTTCTCTTGTTATGAACATAATTTCCAAATCCAAAAAACATCTCATTAAAACTTATTTCTTCAACAAAATTGATCTTAATCTTTCATGTCACCCGGTCGCTAGAGTCTCATCGACGACATTTTGAATGTCTTATACTTCAATGTCTTCTTAATTTTAGTTTATAATAACTTGAATCACAATATTATGGTGGAAAAAGTCAACTGGTGGGGTTTTGGTGACTTAGGTGGAATGGTGAGAGGTTTTTCAGTGATCGACTGGAGGCTTCGCGATTGGCTGGCCCGATGTTTAGTTGGGTTTCATCAACCGGAAGGGAGGACTTTGCCCCTGGTTAGACATTGGCGATCATCGACCGACATGAGCTGATTTTAGGTGAGTGACTAAACTTCAACAGGATGATTTTGAGCCAGCAGCTGATACCGACGATCGGAAGCTGGCCTCAAATCTCGTAATCCAATCATTGATTTTGGAAATCTGTGACTGAGCCAAGGACTCAACAACAATAGAAAAATCATTCTATTGTAGCTTGGTTTTATGCTTGCAAAAATATCACCTTGGTGTTTGCTTTCTGATACACCTAAAAAATATAGTGTTCTTAGACATATTTTTTTATCTATTTTTGAGATATTGCGCTTTAATGGAACGTATTTGTGTATTTTTCCTTCAGTACAAGTAAAAAGGTGGAAGATGCTAAAAGGAATGAAAACAATGATCAAATGTGAAGCAAAAATGCAAAAATGGTGCAAAAGTGTTTTAGCGCCTAAGCGCCAGATCTGGTGCTTAAGCGTCGGTGAAACAGAGAAGGTCGCGCCAAAGCGCTAGAGGCCCCGCGCTTAAGCGCCAGAGTTAGTTATTTGAAGGGTTAATTCATTTTGCCGAATTTTGAAGGATCATTTTAGGAACCTATTTGCTAAAGAAGGTGGTTATGGCAACTAGAAATGAAAATATGGCTAAAAGACTTGTGAAAGAAAGGAGGCATCCATTAGAAAATACATCGAATCAGGACATATTTTAAAGAGATACCAAGACACCTCTTGGAAAATTATAAAAGAAGGAAGTTGAGAGAACATAAAAGGGCGGGTCCTGAAAAGTTCTTGAAGAAATTCGTGGAGAAACATTTGGAGAGATTTTTCAGCCACCACAAATTTACTTTTTCCTTTTTGTTTTTAGTTTTAATGTGAGAGCTAAGAGTGTTGTAAGAGAGAAGAGATTCAAAGGAACTTCAAGAGTTTGGTGGAGGATTTGAGATAAGTTTTTATCTTTGTTTTTAAACTACTTTTGGTTTTAGTCGAGACTTCTTGTTGGTTTGATAATGATTTCTACTTTTAAAATAAAGTGTGGTTTTGTTTTCTCCATGGATTTTGAATAATTTTCTTTAACTTTCTCCTTAAAATGATAAGTAATTAAAGTATTGGATGAAAGTTGTCGAGCGTATTGATACACCAAAAATATATGAATTTTTAGACCCATATTTTATACTAATTTTTTGTGATATTGCACTTTAATAGAGGACATTTTTATGTTTTCCTGTAGGTGGTTGAATTTTAGGATTTGAAGCAAAAAAGAAGCAAAAAGAATGAAATTTGGAGCAAAAATGAAGCAGTTGAAAATTTGTTCATCGCCGACGGCGTCGTTTGACAGAGACCAGCTAATTAAATTGCGGAACATTGGCGCCATTGGTGCCAGAATGGGCGCTGACGGTACCAATGTCGGTTCAGCCCCTATTTTTAGAAGATTTGACAAATTTGAATGTTTCTTAAAAAGTTTTTGGAGGCACCTATTGGAGAACCGACTCTAGGCTTTATTTGGTGCCAAAATTGTTCCGAAAAGTGACTCTTCCTGACATCTCATTGCCCCAATTCAACCTTCCATGCATCACATATTCTTTCCTTTTTCATTCTACAACCATTTAGAGCCTGTTGTTCTTATAATTTAGAGTTTTGTGGTGAGATTAAGTGTGAACTCTTCTCTAAGTTTGTTGGAGAAGGAGAAAAGTGAGAGATTTCTTCTTCCTACATTTCCTAGAATAGGCTAGAAGGGATTTGCTTTGAGAAAGAGTTTCAGATAAGTGTTGTTTATTTATTGGTGTTGTATGAACTTTCTTTTATATATAAAATTTGTGTTTGGTTGTATCTTTCTCATGAAGTTTGAGTAGTTTACTTTATCTTTCTCCCTACTCTGAGATATGATGAAATGAAGAGATAATATGTATGTGCTAATATTAAAATATAAAATAAATTGTGATGATTTTTCAACTCCAAACTTAATTTACTTTTCGATTTGGCCAATTAAATTGTTAAAATATATTGTGAAACATATGATTTGGGAAAT